ACATACATACATACATACATACATTACACACACATACATACATACATACATACATTACACACACATACATACATACATACATACATACATACATACATACATATATATATATATGTACATGCATATATATATATATATACATATATATATATACACATACATACCTGCCCACAAATCCCAGCAGAGCACTTACTGAAGATGCGTGTAGTGTGGGAGCAAAGCAGCTAGAACATGAATTTCTGTCTCTATCTCTCTCCCCCTCCGTTTTGTTCCAAAAATCTCTTGCAGGTATACATACAGAGGGAGAGCGCGGAGAGCGCGGAGAGAGCGAGAGAGAGAGAGGGGAATTCATTATGTTCGGGCCATGTCAGTTTGATTGCTGTTGGTGACCTGGGGCATCTGAGAGAGGGGGGACTCGTTCCTGTCAAGCTGAGCCCCAAGCAGAAAATCTGTTTGGGGGGCGAGTGAGACACCCCAGGACCTGCGGGTGCGCGCACGCGCGCGAGTCTCGGGGCTGGACCGCCTTGGGGCTCCCACCTCGTCGAGAGAGAGAGAGAGAGAGAGAGAGAGAGAGAGCCATTTTGGCTCAAGCCGTGAGCGGTTCAAACCTCCCGGCCCGAGCACTGCTGAGAGAGTAAAGTAAACTGCAAAGAAGGGAGGTCAACCCGGGGGCCAGCCTTGAGAGCAGAGAGCTGTGCCGTGCCATCACTTGCTGTTCGGCACGAACGCAGCACTACTTGTCTTCCTCCCGAAGGCCCGGGGCGGCGACATAGGCGGGGTCGTTGATCCTCGCATAGTTTGAGCTGTACCAGGGGGACTTTGTCGTTCTCATCCACCAGGCACTCGGCGATCCTACAGGGGGACCGCCTCTACGTCGCGATTCAGGACTTTCTCAAGGGGTCCTCACGAACCAGGCGGTTGTGCAACGTGACACTTTCTCGGCGACATCGACAATGCAAAGTTCAGTGGCAGCGATGGAGGGGACCGAGCCGCAGAGCTCAACCCCCCCCCCCCAAATGGGCCCGGAAACGGCGGGGCACCACAAGGCTCGCCTAAGCGTGCCCGCGAAGTCGTTGATCTGGAAGCCGAAGGGGGACGAGCCGATGCTCCCCTCACCCTTGCAATCCTACAACAAGCACTGCAGGTCAACCAGCAGCAAATCACCGACAGCATCCATGAATCTTTGGCAGGGATTGGGCAGCGAGTGGCTCAGGTTGAAGCGAACATGGGGGAACACGTCAGACGAACAACAGAGTTGCTAGATGCCATGACAGACCGTCACGTCAACATCGAAGCGAACATCAACCGCGTGGCCTCCAGTAACACGGTGAGCTTCTGGAAGGCAAGTTCGCTACTGCTACCTTCTCTACCACGAGCACGAGGACTGACTCTGGGGGACAGGACCCCAACCCTCGCCCTGCTATAGTGGTGGGCGGATGGGACAATGACCAAAGCGCCACCACCACGTTGCAGCTGGTCAAGCAGCACCTTGCGGACCTCCAATGCGACCTCGATCTGGAGGAAACGTTTGTCCCAGGAATTCGACGTGGGTTCGCTATCGTCCCGGTGCACGCCCGCCCCGGGGAAGACAACTTCGACTACAGAAAACGAGTCCGTGAAGCACTGCAGCGTGTACGTGAAGCCCGAATTGTCACTGGACAAAGAGACCAAGGAGGTGACCGACACCTATGGGCAGCAATGAGTGAAAGTCCAGAGCGACGTCGCAGAGCACAGTTCGCGGGGAAGATCAAGCGACTGATTCTAGAAGAGAACGGGGACAAGGCGAAGCTAGAGGTCGAGTTTGGCACGGGGAATGTGTGGTATTCTCAGGTCCGGGTTGCCTCGGCAGTTCTTTCAGCACCCCTGGATGCAGACAAAGCAGGTGTTGGCTGGGTGTCTTTGCCCGTGCTGGCACGGCAGATGGGCCTATCCTTGAGTTCCCTGACGACCCGTTGGGACGAGCTCAAGAAAACCTTGGGATGAATGCACCGGGGGAACTCTCACCCTCCGGGGACGGACACCCCTCGGAGGACCTTGCATGTTTTCTCGTGGAACGTCGGAGGGCTCACACCTGAAGTAGCACTTCGCCTTCTACGAGATCTTCGAGATGAACGAATTCACCCTTTTTGTGAGTCCTTTGTCGTCTGCCTCCAAGAGGTTATCATTGACAAAGGCAAGACTGTTTTTGAGGATACCGATATACACATGTTGGCAGGAAAGCAGGAGGATGAATGGCGAGGAACTGCCATAGCACACACAGACGATCTTCACCACAGCCGAGTCAAGCTCCTTCAAGCGGGGATGTGCACAATACTGCAACAGGATCAGTTTCGCTTCGTGGTTGTCGCGGGGCACATGCCGCACCATGCCACCGTTCCGGAAGCCAGCGCGATACTACGATCGTGGATGGGACAGCTTGAACAAAGCCCTCGTGGACTGCTTGGCTTGGATGCTAACGAAACTTTCAAACTTGGCAGAGGCGCCCGAGTGTTGAGTGATGGAGCCCGTGGTGAGCTTATGCTGGAAACGCTAACCACAGCCAACTTCAAGCTCCCGTTGCAGAACCTCGCGAAACCGTCCTATTACCCCTACAACCAGCAAATGCGACCCCGACGACTCGACTATGTCTTCCTGCGAAATCTCCTGGCTGATGAGGGGGATGTTCTCGACAGGCGCGACCTTGCCCGCAGCGACCATGAGCCGATACATGTGCCACTAAGACAGCCTTTGCCTCCGAAAACCGGAGAACAGGACAGTCACAAAACGTGGGGGACCCGGAGACTGCGAAGCAGCCAGGTCGTTGAGGATGTGTTGCAAAACTTCGAGATCACCCGCAGTGACCCCGTCAAACTCATCGCCGACATCTCCCTCAAGCTTACGGAACCAGGGCGGGCCCTGGCCAAGTACCGTGAGAGCAAGCAGATCAAAGAGATGCGGCGGCGGATCCTTGCCATGCCACCAGGGGCCGAGCGCAAACAGGCCTGGAAGACACTGGCCAAAGATCGCCGGCAAGAACACCGTGCTTGGGTAACAGACAAGCTCAACCTGGCTGGGGCTGGATTCTGGCGAGCAAAAGCAGCGGTAGACCAGGAGAGACACAACACGGCATGGGAACTTGCACTGAAGTCAGATGAAGCCTGGCGTGACAAACTCGCCAAGCACTTTGGGGGGATCTTCCACAAGGCCGACAGTGAAGAGGTCCGCCAGCGTTTTTCAGTAATCCTGGGGAGGATGGCGGGGATGTGCAAGCTACAACCATGGCAGCCCTTCACCTTTGAGGAGATTAAAGCAGTCCGTAAACGATGGAAAAATGGGAAATCGTGTGGCCCTGACAGCATATCACACGAGGCCTTGAAAGTGCTGGAAGCGGTCGATTCTTGGCGCGACCGACTGCTGTGTCTTTTCAGTGACATGCTTTACACGGCCAAGATCCCCGAAACCATTGAGCGGGGAGTCACCACTTTACTTGCAAAGGTGGGGACACCCACGTCTTGGAGCGACACCAGGCCTATAACCTTAAGTTCGGCGCTCCTGAAAACATTCTCGCAGTTGCTGATTGGCCGTGTTTCCCACTGGGTGCAGGGGGACTCTCGCTTACAATGGGCACGAAGATCTCGACAAGGAGTCGAACTCATTCTTATACTCCGTCGTCTGTGCCGAGTGGCCCACGATTGGGGCATCCCCATGTTCCTGGCCAAGCTCGATATACGGAAGGCCTTCGACTCTGTGTACCAGGAAGCCCTTGCGCTGCAGATAGAGGAGGACGTATGCATTCGGGGGAGCCGCCCTTGGGAGGGGAGAGCATGGGCATCCCTTCATGCCACTGAGATTGAGATTGTCTTCCGCGGGGAACACTTTCGCCTCCCGCAGTCCAGTGGTGTGCGACAAGGATCGCCCGATAGCCCCATAGCTTTTGGTCGCATCATCGCCAAAGACCTGGAGAAATCTATCGCTGAATCCAAGCACGCCAAGCCCAGCACTGGGGAACCGCCACCAGAAGACGGGGGAAGCTTCATGGATGACAGCTATTTATGGTCAACCAGTGCAGCACATTTACAGACGATGCTGGATCGCATGGGGGCAAATCTACCTCGCAAAGGGCTTGACATCCACCCCCTCAAGACAGAAATCATCGACAACCAGACCGGTGGGGTAGAGTTCAACGTTGCGGGGGACAAAGTGCTCTCGAAGGGGCCTGAACACATTATTCGAGCGCTCGGAAGCCCTCTGAGCTTCAGAGGACACCCTGCCATGATTGTGGCCGAGATGCAATCCAGAGCTCGAGGGGCCTTTCGCAAACATCGGGGGACCCTACCGTCCAAGGCACCTTTGCGGTCGAGACTACAGCTACATACAGTTCTGGTCCGACAAAGCGCTCTATGGGCCTGCCAAACGTGGCAGTGTAGCGAGTACCTGCTTCGCTGCGCAAACAGCTTACAGCTCAGCCAAGCACGAACCATTATGCACCTCCACAAACCAGCGGGGGACGACTGGCTCGAGTGGAATAAGAGGACCCTGCGACAGGCCAGATTGGCCTTGCATCGTCATGAAATTCAACGATGGTCGACTTTCATTCTCAGCCAGATCTGGAGCCTTGCAGGGCATGCAAGCCGTGGAGATGAAGTCGCATCGGCTATGATGAGATGGCGGAATTTGGCATGGTGGCGAATCGAACAGACAATCCCCCCCTCGTGGGGGGGACACCGCCACAGTGGCCGCTTTAACCCGCACCTTGACATTGAAAGGCAGATCGTCGAGGTGGCTGGAGAAGATTGGCAAAGCAAGGCGGGGGACAGGATATGGTGGGCCAACATGGAGGACCGCTTCGTGGAAAAGAATGACGTCCCATGGGCCTCCGGGGAGCAGAACCAGCTCGAGAACCTTGCACCCAACAAGGGGATGTCATCAAACAAGAGCAAGAAGAACGGAAGGAAGAAGATCGTCAAGGGGGGACTGTGAATGATGTCCTCGCTCGAGCCCTACGGCTTGCCCGAGACAGAGAACAGGCCCAACATGAAAGAGTGTTTTTCGTTTTGGCAGCAACGACGCCCCCCACTACACATGTGGGGAACCTCCACCTTGTGCATGCAAAGAGCTTCTCCACACCACATGGCAGGGTGTTCGCGCTTTGCAGCTATGTAGTGCAGACAGTTTGCAGTGAGGGTGTTGAGGACCATTCTGCAGCAGCATGTTCGTGTCTTGAAGCCAGCAGTTTCATACCTTGCTTGCCTCACCAGGGAGAGAGTCAAGGGGGACAGATGGTCACCCTATCTTTTCAGGACATGACGAAGTCTTGGTGAAAGCTTTCAGGACATTGCCTGTTCCGCCGCGGCCACTTGGTCTTGTCGAACATGGTTGTGTTACATGCACTCCTGCGACATTGCATCGATCCTGCACTATATGCACTCCTGCCCAACCCGAACCCCGGCATCATCGCATTGTTTTTGCACTACCTGTTCTACATGCCTGCTCCAGTAACGAAAGTAGTGACCCACTACCAAGCTCGTGACCGATCTAGCTAGAAAGCACCTCACCGCCGCAGCAGTGCCACAGCATCACCATGCGAAAGCAAACCGGTGCAATCTACGTGTCGGTCATCCTCGCGTCAGCGCTGGGGATGCAACCCCAAGATGACCGAAACGGGAACAGACAGCCCCCGCAGCAACCGCACGCAGTACCACAACGAGGAGACCTAGGCGCCAGCTCAGGGCAGCAGCAGCAGCAGCAGCAGCAGACCGCTACAACTATGGGGGGACCACATTGCCCACCTAGCAACCCAACAGGGGGACACCTGCAAACCCCCCCAGCACCATGGCTACCGCCATGGGTAGCAAGTCAGGGCCGCCAGGCTCGTACAACCCGGTGGCAGCGACTCACTTCCAATGGCATGCCAGTCATCCGGCCTCCAATGGAGCCTACGTGACATCCTGGGGGGGGGTACAGTCTATCCCCAACCAGTGCACCCCACCAGGGGAACATGGTCGCCCAACCCCAGCTGGGAAACCCCCATTTCCAAAGCCAGCACTCGCAACCCGGCCTGCCAATGCTCCCCCCTGGCCAGCATTTTGGGGGACAGCCATCGCAACAGCCACAGCCACACCAGCAACCTGTGGTAGCCCATCCACCAGTACAGCAACATGATGTTCGACCGTCAACTACCGCTCACCAGTTTCCCTTGCCCCAACACTCGCAGGCCCAATACCAGAGACCACAGCAACAGCATCAGCAACCACCACAACAAACAAACAACCTGTGGACACCACGTTACCCAAAGCCATACGACCCTGACACAGATCCTTGGCATGTCGACACTCCGCCACCATCACCACGGACACAACACCAACACCAAGCACCAGCAGCCATCTCGGCCGGGGTTCGCGGAACAACCGCCGTGGGCCCTAACACAGGAGCAAGCGGCGAACCTGCTAGCCGAGTCCCCGCTACTACAAGCACAAGCATCGGCCCAGCAGCAGCCACAACACCAACCGACGGTGTCGAACCCGACCGCAGAGACTGCAACCCAAGTCGCACCGACCCCCCCGGAGGCGGATTGTGCGGCGACCGCAGCCACCACCGACACAGGAGCAACAGACACACAAAACACTTGTACAGACAGCCAAGCAGCAGCGGCGTGCCTGCAGCAGAGACGCCTGAGGAAGCCCCAGCAGCTGAAGCCACTGGGGACGACAGCGATGCACAACAGCAGGTGTACACCCCACAACCAGGGGAACACAACAGTGGGGGAAGACACCGCCCCCCCGCTGCGACGTCCACACGACGTACAGAGTCGAGCGCCGGGCATGGCTCACAAAGGGTCCAAAACAAAGCTGGCAAGTACACGTACAAACAGCATAACAAACGTGGTAATTACCAACAGCGCCCACCCCCTCAACAACAAGGGGGACCGGGATGGGGTCTCCTTTATCGGCCTCAACCCCCCCGAGACACCGGCATCACCACACCCGCCAACAGCAACCCACTTCCATTTCGGGGGAGCAAAGCAGCGAACGAAGCCCGAGAGCAGTGGTCCAAACTGCTTAACAAACACCTCGAGCCCCGAGACAGACCCGTCGGGCAAGCCAGCAGAGACACGGCCCCAGCCGCAGCAGACAACTCCCCCCCATCCACGAGCACAGCGCACCACAACACACAGCACCACGTAAAACCCTCTACTATCGCAGCCAGCGGGACACAAGCTAGCAGCAGAGAAGCCGGCAACCAACAAAGTGCCACTACCACAGCCACCAACTCGACGGCAGCGGCAAGCAGCGAGATGCAAGCTCAAGCAGAATGGGCCTCTTCCCAGGACAGCTTCTACCAACAAGAAGTTCCACCTGACATTCATTTCTCCACCCTCGGCGGAGGAGTGACCTTCATACAGCTGACACAAGGATGCTGGGAGATCCAAGTGGGGGGACAATCGAGCCCTAGTTGGTCAGCTGGTTTACCACCGCTGACGACGGTGGAGCTGGGACAATTTGGACCCCTCGAGCGAGCACCACCATTCACCGCGGGCACCATCGGACGACTTGCCCCAATGAAAAGGGACGACAAATGGTTGCTGACGATCCTCAACGTCCCCGACCTGGACGATTTCGAGCCCCACACGATGCTCCTGGTAGAAGGAGATCAGTTCATACTGACACCCAGAGGATGGGGGCTCCGCGTACATCGACTCGCCCCCTCGCCTGCACGGGCAAATCGACAACAGGCCAGCCCTTCGCAACAAGCCACCCAGACCGCGGAGGACCCACAGCAGCAGCAGCCAGAGGAGGAAGCAACAGCAGCCGAATCGACGATGCAACAGGAAACAGCGGCAGCCACCTCCATAGCGGAGGGAGCAGTGTCAGACGAGGATGAGGAGGACCAAGCCGGAGACCACAGACCTCCGAGAGTACCGATTTCGGCCTATGCCGAAGCAGAAGTTGCACCACTTGGAGAAGGGCGCTGGCGAATCTCCGCGGGACCAGATCGGGGGAACAAGCCACGTCATCCAGGGAGCCTTCCTACCACTGTCATTGAAGGTGATGGCGGACCAGTGGACGAGGCGCCAGCAATCGCCATAGGCACAGAAGGAGTGCTGGAATTCCTCACAGAGGATTTGTGGACGTTGGATATTGAAGCCATTGCGACGACCATCGTTCACGAGGGGGACACCACGCTGCTCACCCCAGGGGACCGCCTCCTCCTGGAAAGACAAGACGGAGAATGGCACATCCGGGTGGAGCTCCTCTCCCCAGACGCCCCAGCAGCGGTCGGCAAACTCCGACAGAGGCGACGAAACCTGGCGGCAGGTGAGAGACGAGCAAGAAAGCAGAAAGCAAACAACAAAGGGGGGAACGTTCCCCCAACCATTCCGGAGCATGACAGCGAGCAAGACACAACGGCAGACCACCCACCACAACCCTCAAGCGGGGAAGCAGCGACACCTGCAACGAGCAACACCCAGCAAACAGAACCTGTGGGGACATCAGCCAGCTCCAGCTCCTCGCATGAGCCGCCGCAGCAGAGCCAGCACGGTGCAGAAGAGAGACCACAGAAACCTGACCGCCCACAGCGAGACCACTACAACATCCTCTCGGATGGGAGACAACTCCGACGCTCACAACGAGAGCGACAGGCCAGTCAAGATGCAAGCAGAACTTCCACCCCCCCCCACAGCATCCACACTGGCAGACACCTTCCGCGACGGGCGACAATTTGGCCAAGACCGACATTCGCAGCAGCAGCGATTCTATGAACAGTCGAGGACTACAACCTCGACCACTCTATCTCCCGATGAAGCCAGCACCTTACCCAACACGACAACATCCACCACCGTGGGAACAGACATGCACAGCCTCGTACAAAGTTTCTGGCAGCTGAAGAGTGGAGCAAACAGCAACACCCTCCCCACTGGCGAAACCCAGACAACACAACAACTCACACCTACTACACCGAACCCGACACCGCCGGAGACTGAGACCGAAGCAGCGGAAGCAGTACGCACAGAGAACCACTCAGCAACAGCAGCCACCACACGAGAGACCGGGGAACCAGCCAGCAGTAGCAGTGCCAGGAGCAGAGTGGAACAGAACCTGATGGCGATCAGGCATATTGCACAAAGCTATGACGATAGCCAAAGCAGAGCAATTGTGACTGCAGCCGAAACGGCACTCATTGACCTACTAGTCGACACGCCAACAGCAATCCAACTCGATGCCAGTCATGACAGCCCTCCCACAGCGGGGGACACTACAAAAGCAAAGACAACTGCAGCCAAACAAGCAGCAAAACAGTTAGGGGAACTCGCTAGACAGTTGCTAGGTCATGGAGGGGAGATCCTCGTGCCGTATGCCATGGTGGCACCTCATGTGAGTGCCCTCATTGAGTGGTTTGGCACCCTCGAGCAGGCCAACATTGCGGTTCACGTGCAGTTGCCACCTGCCCTCACACCACTGAGAGAAGTCCTGAACGACATCCTCGCGGAGAAGCCCGGGGGGACTGCGACGTGGGCAAAGCTTATAGCCGTCACAGAAGCGCTGGAGAACTTGATTGCAGGGCAGCGACACCGGAAGCAGTGGAAAGTGGGGACCAAGCTTGGCAACCTGAACCTTGGTGGTATCAGGAGCGCCATCACGGCCTGGGGGACACAGCTCGCTCCTCCACGTCGCCGAGAGGGCCTCCACAGCGACGACCAAGAAGCCCCTCCGTCGATGAGGACGGGGGAGAGTCGGACCAAAGCCACCGGAGACGACGACTGATGGCCGAGCATTTCCATGGTGGGGACTGACAACGACCTGCAACCGGAGATGCAGGGGGACATGAAGTGAACAGGCACCACGAGCACTACTGAACGCGTCTGAGTGGCTGAACGAGGGGGACAGATGCTTTTACGGTGGGGAACCTAGATAGGGGTTCGTGACTTGTTGAGGTTTGTTTCCAAATTCCTGTAATACCAATTTTAAAAAGCGTCCGTCGGTCCTCTACAACTGCTGTAATCATGGCCGGGGGCTCAGCATGTTGCCTTTATGTATTGTCTATCATGCCTCCTTTGAAAACCCCGCCATGTTGCAACTAGCAAACTCGCTGCGGGGGGACAACTGTTTCTTGTCTGTGTAATAGTGTTTTAGCTTTCGTTAGTATTGTTTCGCACCCTTGACAACATGCCCTCTGTAGTGAAGGCCACCTTGAGATAAACATTCTCACAATATCTCATGCATGCTTTTGAGAACCTCTGATCGATATGATTGGGGACAAGGGAACCTTGCCGGGGGACGCACACTTGCTGTTCTTATTGCATTCTTAGAGTGGTTTTTCGACTATTTCGGCCTGCCGGCAAGATCCATGGCTGCTGAAAGATTGCCATCTCGAGAGCGGGGGAGATATGGTTGTGCCTTTGTTCTTTCTGCCAAACCGCTTGCGAGAGGGCACTAATTAAGGTGTCCAAAGAACTGCAGTTGGAGCCCGGGGGAATGATATTGTCGTTTCTAGTGGTATTACCCTGATAGCATGCACATGTGGACCAGGAAAAATATCTACTAAAATATCTACAAAAATATCCATCATTATCCACAATAAAACCCGGAACTCAAACGAAACTTGTAACAAGCCATCCCCCGAAAGCCCCATAATATATGGGGGGCCTATTGGCCGGGGGGCCTTACTCGCCCCTCAAACCCTGGGAAAGAAAGAGAGAGAGAGAGAGAGAGAGAGAGAGAGAGAGAGCGAGCGAGGGTGCATGCTGTAGCATACTGAGCCCTGGCAGCAAATGCTTTTGAAACCGGTCCTTTTGCTATGTTGCCTGCTGTAATCTATGCGCATGTGTGGCGTATCTGCCTGTTCTGCTAATAGGCCCGCGGCCACGAACACAGGTGATGCCAAGTCGGGAGTGTGTCAGCGAGAGCCATTGACGGTTTCTTGATGCCTACCGAGCAGTTGGTCCCGAGGATTCTCCCGTCTGATTTGCATGCGTGCTCTCTTCATTTCTGCTTTTCGTGGCCCCCATAACATTTGGGGAGGCCTCCTGCTCCCGGATCCCTTGCGAAAGAAAGAGGCCACTGACGGCTTTCCAATAAGGCTGAGCTTGGAGCTGCCTCGCCTGTGCGAGAGACACAGCGAGAGAGAACCAGCTTGTCCTTGAACAGCTCATCCGGCCTATATGTTGGATGGGGCAGCGAACTTGTGCGGGTCACGGCTTAAGCCCTTAGCATAGCATAGCATAGCATAGCACAGCACAGCACAGCACAGCACAGGATTACATTACATTACATTACATTACGTACATACACATACATGCATGCATGCACGCACGCAGGCATACATGCATACATGCATACATGCATGCATGCATGCATGCATATACATACGTACATACGTACATTCCTACATACTACGTACGTACGTACGGACGTACCCACAGACACAGACAGACAGACAGACAGACAGACAGACAGACAGACAGACAGACAGACAGACAGACAGACAGACAGACAGACACACACACACACGCATGTAGTGTGTGTGTGTGTATATATATATATCTTTGATATATAATATAACATACATACATCTGTGTATGTATTGCCGGCAGACCTATCGTGCCGAGAATACCAGCAGTGATGAGAGCAAGCAACAGGATGATGACTGAAAATAACTGATGCGACTAGCAGTGGCAGAGTACGCTACAGCCTTGTGGCGCCGCGGCTGCAGGCCTTGGCCATCACGGCTGCCAAGGGCAAATCACCGGGGCACGGATTATGCTACAGTTCGAAGGTCTACAGCTGGAGAACCTTGCGTCTTGTCCGGGGGGATAGGGCTTCAGGTGTTTAGATGTTGGGCATTCGGTGTCTTCGGGCTCATGAGGGTTTCGGGGGCAGGTATTTAATTTGGCCCTCGGTATTGCCGGCTTCAGCCCGAGCGTACGCTCCGCTATAACTCTGAAAACTCCAGAGAGTTCTGGCATAAGTCTGCGAAATTGTTCCCCGACCTACTTCTTGAGATTAACGCCGCCCTACTCTTTCCGAGGGCTTCGTCACGGCAGATGTAAGGTCTTGGCGCGGGTGTCGGCTGTGGCATCGGCCTGCCAGAGTTTCAGGGTTTTTGTTCGGGCTAAGGCCTGAGATTTAGGGCTTAGGGCTACTGGGTTTGGGGTTGGGGTGTGTAGGGTTATGTAGGGTTTATGCTCTGAGTGAGTAGAGGGAGCGTCGCAGGGTCAGCTTCCGGAATCCTTTTCCTACACACGGCCCTGTGTCGCACATGGCCAGATGGCAGGTGTCAACACGAATCTTGCACTCCGTCAATTCATCACACTTAATCTCAAGCCCTCACGCTGCACTGCTACATCCTACAGCCTGCACCAAACATCTTGAAATCCACCAAAAGCCCAATTCCAAGTCTAGGGTTTGGTTGGGGCTCTATAGTGACCCTTATAGCAGCGTCCGCGGTAATTGATATGTACCGCAACCCTCACTAGGCCATAGTTCCCACCCCCGACCTCGACGGGCGCCGGGAGCTAGGATCGCCCTGGCCTGAGAAGCCGTTCAGACATGTCGACTGGTACGGGGTTTCACGTCTAGGGCTTTACTTATCGGTCTTTGCCTTAGGTATATGGGATATCGGACTTCCGATCCGGAACTGATATTTTTTTCGATGTGTCTCTGTAATATATATATATATATAAAATATCAAAGCTGATCCTGGGTACCCAGGTCCGAGGACTCGGGGCTCGGTGCAAACGCCACATGGAAGTACATTACGAACATTACACGAATACCCGTGCACCCTGGTCCAATATGCATGTTCCTAGCGTGCCACATGAATATTTCATCATGTCCGCATCAAAATACCAACAGAAACCCTGTCAGAAAGATGCTATAGAGCACTGTAGCCGCTGTCCCTGGTCGCATTGCCGCGATAGCCCAACAGAACAAAGACTGAGGAATAGTCCTGCTGAGTATTCATATCCCGATATCATATCAACCTCTGCAACAACCCTTGCAAAACCCTCCAAGGACCTTACAACCCCGTTCAAAGTACATAAACCCCACAGCAGCCCTCCTAGCACATTTTGAAGACATGGCGGAATCCCATTGACAAAACCCGACACCCCAAATCGACCAGAAAGGGACCTCCCTCCTCCGAGAGTTTGGCTCTGACTTCTCGCGTTGAACATGTGCGTCTTCTCTGCCTAGGATTTGGGATTTTGGCCTTTTTACGGCGTTTTTAGGGACAGGGGTTTATGGTTAAGGGTGTTAAGGTTTGGTGTTTGGGTTAAGGGGGTTTAAGTTTCATGGTTTAGGGTTTATGATGTGTTTATGCTTCGGCTGGCGTCCTTCTTGCTAAGGTTTTGGCAACTGTCGGTTGGCAAGAAGGACTTGCCAAAGCACTCAGCACCACATTGCCCAACATCCAAATGCCATGAACACATTCTATCAATCAGGGCAGAGTGCTTTCGTACAAGTATTTTTCAGGCGGAGTGCTTCAGTCGGCCGTCCCCAACACCAAAATGCCATGCAAACTCAGGACTCAGGCTTGTGGCACAAGCTTTTGCAAGGCCCCCTTCGCAGTGCGCCTTTTTTACAGCCGGCTCTGTTGCAGAAGCCACGGAACACATGAGTGA